TAGGCACAATGTTAGGTGTTGTAAGGTATCAATGGTAAAAAAGATTTTATGGCAAAGAACGATAAGGTTGAAGGGATTAAAGACAGTTCCTCCTCAGTTTACCAATCTTTAGATAATTAGGTCATTTTCAATTAAATTAATTTTCATACATTAAATTTAACATGAATGAGGTGTATTTGACAAGTTTTTCAAAAGACAAATGATGCATTCCAAAAAAAAATTGTTGTTATTGGAATTGAGTTACAATTAAGTACTACTAGAGGAAGGGATTTTAAAAAAAGTTCAAGATGAAGAGCTATTAGTTTAGTAAGAGATTTTGGGACAAGTTCAAGAGAATTTCCTATTAGAAAAGAAAGAGCTTTTGGTACTGACAGTAGAGGTAGAACATATGACATTGGTTGTAAAAGTAGAGGTTTTGAATCTACAAAAAATATTGGGTAAAGAAATGTTGGAAATGTTAGCAAAAAAGAGGTGATCTAAGGCCAAAGTTGCTTCAATTAGAGAAAGGGGTCAAAGTAATACTTTAATTTATGTTGGTTAGTATGCACTTGTTAGTCAAGTTGCTATTTATTAAATATCTAATAATCATAATGCTTGTAACCAAGCAACCAACACCTATGCAGCTAGTAGTCAAGCAACTAGTAGCTAAGGTGTTTGGATGCAATTCGAAAATAACTCATACATGTTATTCTAGGTTGATGCATTGAACTTATATATGTTATTTGACTTATTGGTCTTATAAACTGATATATATGGGCCTTTTATTTTGTTATTTGGTCAAAAACTGTGCATTTTGGTAATGATCTTATAAACTAATAGTCTAATTTTGTTCAAAATAGTTGATGGCCTTATTTTGTTCATTAAGAATGTTAACTTTTAAGGTTGTATTTTGGATTGTACTTTTTATAAATGGATGTGTTAATTCTTACAATTTTGTTCTTCAGTACCTTTAAAATTTTACCAACTTGGTTTAAAGTAGTACAATGCTAATTTGCAAGACAAAAATTTTAGAAAGAAATGCCACTACAAGGCTTGTTTCACAAAAGGCAAACAAACATTCATTCAATAGTTACTATAACAAATTCACATAGATATTTCATCAAACACTTAATACTATTACACATTACATCTTAATAACCATTATAATCTTCCCTACAACTAAACAATACCATGTTTTCTGCCCATAACAAATTCATAATAAACTACTAACATTAATTCATTAACTCAAGAAAATTATTTCTTAAGCTTTTTCTACCAAAAGGATCACACAAAATCAAAATCAACAATATCATAACATTACCACAAATAAAGCAAATAACCTTTTCTTAGGTCAAATATGAATAAACGGTGCTTTATTGTAACTCTCTTACATAAGATTCCAATAATTCATTCTGAATTTCTTGTTCATTATTTCGAGTTTCAACAAGTTCTTCATTCAATTTTAGATTTATCTTTTCTACTTCGACTAGCAATTGTTGCAATAACAACTTTCTAACTAAACATATTGTCAAATTTTCAATTAATTGTTGTTTCCTTATAATTGATTTTGAAATCTCATTTATCATTTTTATCGTTATTTCTTTCAATTTTAGCATCTATTTCTTACAACACTTATATGGCATCTTATCAACCTATTGAAAAAAAATTCATATTTTTGTACTCTCTATAAATACAAAACCCCAAATATTAAACTTTTTTCTTACTTAGAAATTATATCAACAATTAATGAAATCTAGCATCAAATTTCTCACAACCATGTAATTTTTATCCACAATTGCCACTTGTTGAAGAAATTTTTATTGGTGATTCTCACCACAATAACATAATTTTTTACTATTCAATCTTTAATTTTTTGTAGATTATAGAAAATACATTTGAGTTCACTTATATGGTGGAAAAAAAATAATGAAGGATGATTATGTGTAAAATTTTTTAGGCACTTTCAATTTACCTTTAACCATACATATATATATATATATTTATGAAGTTTACCCATAAAAAAACCAACAATACAGAGAGTTTAACGGGTCCAAATCCGACAAAACCCAAATGAAAATTGATCTAAGATACATCAATTGAAATAATAGTTTGGTTTTAAGTTTCATAGGTAAAAGGATCCAATTACACAAGCTTTGATCTAGAGTTGAATTAATTTAGTTATGGAGCTCTCAATTTGGATAATTGATTTGACAATCTTTGACCCAAGTCAAGATTTAGAAATCTCCATTAAATCAGATCAAAGAAAGAAGAACAAAAAACTAAGAAAACCATAAAATGAAGGAAAAGAAAGTTTTAAATTTTGGGTTTCTCGTTACAAATCAAAAAACAAACAACTAGAAAGAGCATGGCTTTGTTAAGAATTTTTATTTTTATTTTTCTTTTGAATTTTGTAAAAAAAAGAAAGGCCACTAGGAAAAAGGGGAACTATTGCATGAATATGGTAACAAATACAAGGTAAAGAAATTTAGAAGTGATTATAACTTAAAATTATTTGGAGTTGGGCGACGATGGTAAATATAGGTTCGATGCTAGATTATGGAGTTAGACAATGGTGATAGATGGTTGTTCTTTAGTGTTAATTGTTAAAAACTAAAGATGAGACTTAGAGAAAAAAATAAGAAGAAAAATAAAATTAAAATTAAGAAGAAAGCAAAAATAAAAGAAAATTTCACTATCTGATCCATTTAGGTTACAAAAATTTACATCATAAAAAATCACTATCTAAATAATTAAATAATAAAATTTATCATATCAACAAAATTAATATCACATAATAATTAATGTGTGTCTCTTTAATATTATCAATTTATCGCATGTTTGTTTATATTTAAAATTATAATATTTTAATTTTAATTATTAGAATTAAAATTTAACATAGCGTGTCGGTGATGTCTCAAATTAGAAACTTTTGGTTACTTCTATCTTACTTTTGGAAAAATATGATTTTCTCAAAAGTATTGCTTGATTGTTTGTTTATGTAGCGGCATTTGCACGTGTGAATGCTATGGTGAAGTAATTATTGAAGTTTGCTTTTCATTCTCTTACATAAAGGAACATTTTTTCACCATGTAAAAGACTATATATGTACATTAAAAATCTACATATTTTTGATGTGATGATTTTTAATGTATTGAATAAATAAAAATTCTCAAATTTGAAATATTTGTTCTAAGATTATATATGTACATTAAAAATCTATTAAATTATAAATTAAAAGTATCTTTCAACACTTTTTCTATTGACAGTCAGCGTTTTTTAGACAGTTTTGTAAGTCATTCGGTTTTATGAATCATGGGGTTTATTGGGCTTTAATTGATAATTGTAAATGTAAGTTTTTTTTTTATTAGTATTTTTTTAAATACCTAAATTTCAATCACTTTCTTTTTCAGCTTTTTTAAGTGATAAAATTTTAGCGATTTAAGAATAATGCTATATTTATCAAATATTTTTAAAACTTTAATAATACATATTATAAAAAATAAAAAAAACTCAACTTAAGATTGATATTAAAACAGTTCACTTTTGTGATTGGATCAAATAAAATTGATACAAATAAAATAAATCACACAAAATATTTTTTGAAAAATAATTCTCACTTTATAAACTTAAAAACAAATTTATTTTTTCTAAAATTATTATTTAAAGCATACTTTCTTTTAAATTTAACGTTCATTCAAATCATTTATACTAATTTTAATTAAAAAAACTGGACGGAATTGGACACGTCACCTAAATAAAAGATAAAAAAGAAAGAACTCAAAACTTAGGCTAATCTCAATTAATATGTGTCAAATTTAAAAATGTAAATCATACATTAATATTTATAATTTATTCGAATTAAGTTAGAATAAATTTTAAATTTTATTAAATTATCAAATCGAGTGTAAGTTCGAATAATTTGATTTATTAATCGAATCAAATTTAAATATTTTTATACTCAATTTTAATAACTTACGAATTTAATTAAATTTTTATATTTTAATATATTTTAAATATTTTAATTGATAAAATATTTTAAATTTAAATTTAAACATAAATAATTAAATTTTTATTAAATATAAAAATTAAATTTATTTTTATATATTAATCAAATTTAATTAAATAAATTTAAATAATTTAATTTTTATATTAAATTAAATTTAAATTTAAATATAAAATTTAATTAAATTTAAATTTAATATTATATTAATTTGAACTCAGTCAATGCCCGAATGAGGCTGTAATTTGTTAGCCTTAGCCCCTTACCCCAAAACGTTGCACGCCAGTTGTACGAGAAGATGAAGCCGTTTCGTTAATAGTGTAGTAGACAGCTGGTTAGGGGTCCACTGCTAAAGCCAAAGCGAAGCTGTCCTCCGATTCCTCAGACAATGACGTGAGATATTATTACTGGATTCATTCATGTAAACTACATAAAGTACTTAGATGATGTTTGTTGGAGTACAGAACATAAACAGCTGTCTGCAATAATAACACCCAACTCGATTTGCTCTGCGCTTTGTTTGGTTAACACATATATTCGACTCCTTCCCTTGCTTGAAAATGAGAGTTATGGAGATATTTTTCTCCTACCTCCTACCCATGTTTTGATGATGAAAGCAATTAAAGGGTAAAATATATAATTGACTATTTAATTATAATTGCATTTTAAAAATAATTATTTAGTTATTAAATTTTTAATAAATGTTTTTTATCTTATTATAATTTTTAATGATATATTATAATGATAATATTATATTAATTATAAATATCATATAATATTATCTCATCATCTAATAAATAATATGGAATTATAAACGTGATAATACTAAATGTATTTGATAATCACGTCAATATGTTAAAAATTAATATTTTGGTAATAAAAAATATTTACTTAAATTTTAATGATTAAATAAAAAATTTAATAATTAAATCACCATTTTAAAAATAATAATCATAATTAAAAAAGACTTAGTGATTTGTTTTATCCAAAATTTAATGAATCATAAATTCATGATATAATAATGTAAGAGTAGCAGTAATGTTTATCAAACAAGTCAGTATCAACCACTACTATTCCAGGTTAGACAAGCATGTCAGCTTTGAGGCTTTAAATATTTCCAACTCCATTTCTCACGTTGCCTTAACTATTCTATGTTCTTGGATATCCAAAGACCGAGGTAGCCCAACATGACAAGTCCTGTCGTAATAACAATAAAGTTGGTGCCCAGTTAAGTAAACTCACACTAACTACACCGCTATAAAGTTCAATGCCATGTTCAGGCAACTTTGTACCAAGATTATATTAAACAAAATACAGTGGCAGTCATGGCAGTCCGCGTGCTTCTTGCATTTTCTGTTCTTCTACTCTGCCTTGCAGAGGTAAGCATCGATTTCTTACAGTTGAGTTTCAGATGTTGGGTTTTCGTTTTGAAGTTTGGTTTCATCTTCAATGTAGGTTTCATCTAATGTCAAGACGGAACAAGATATAACCACCATTGATGAGGTATATATAACAGACCAGAGAAAATGTTCACAAATTTTTTCTTCTTTTCTTTCTTGTTTCTGTATTTTCAGTGAAAATGTTCTTGTTTTAAATCTCTTACAGGAGGCTTCCTTGCTTGTCAGAGGTGGAAACAGAAGGCTCATGCAAGAGATTGGTGGGTATAATTATTTCTCAGATTTTCTGACTAACCGTTCTCGTTCTGATGATACATTTTTCATGTATGACAAGCTAAAGCCCAAAAAAAAGTGTTTTAGATGTACCAATCCAAGAATGTCATGGAATCAGTTATAAGTGGCAGTCAACAAGCTGGGAAACTAAGATTAGTAGTACTAAATTTTTTTGTTTATTCAATCTTATAATTTGTGTGCGGTCGGCTGCAGATTGTGGAGGATTGTGTAAGCAAAGATGCAGCCTGCACTCAAGGCCAAACAGATGTAACAGGGCGTGTGGGACTTGCTGCATGAGGTGCAAGTGCGTGCCACCAGGGACTTCAGGGAACAGGGAGGTCTGTGGGACATGCTACACTGGCATGACCACCCATGGAAATGTCACCAAGTGCCCTTAGCTTCTTGCCTACAGTGACCTAATATTGCCTCATCTGGGCCTAAAATGTGATTCAGCTTTAAGGAAAAAAATTTGTTCGTTTGTGTAATATGTATGTTTTGGTTCGGCCAATGTATCTGTCCGTATATCAAATAATGAGTCAAGTTTCATTTAGTTGATACGTTTTTTTTTTCTTTTTTTATGAAAAATATTAAATAGAAAAAAATCAACCAAACAGAATTTAAGTGTATGCATAAGCAATCAGGGATTAACAAACAGCAATACTAAGTATCGGTGTTAAAATTGGTTTTGCACATTTGGTTAATTGGAAACTGAAACTCTTACCGAAAATAGTAAAGATATGTTTGATGGATGATGGATTAGATAGTACTATAATTAGTTTATATTTAAGCATAGGATTATAAAGAGAAATATCATTTGATTCAATTTTTTAAAAATGAAGACAGATTATTTTTAATTCATATGATTAAGTTTACATATTTTATTATATTTTTAAATATTACATTAATTATTTAAATTGTATAAATTTTAAAAAAAGATAATTTTGATTAGTAAATAAATTATTTTATTTTAATTTATATATATATATCAAATATAAGATAAGATGATATTATGTAACTTAATTTTATTCATAATATTATTTTATCTTATCATAATTTAATATACCAAACATTATCTAAGTTGCTATAAATAAAATTTTTTATCTTGTTCAAAAAAATCTAATCACTATGGTTTACAAAGAGATTTTTTTTAGTGAGTAATATTTAGGAGAATATCATCTATAATTTTTTATTATAATTTTATAATTAATTATATTATTGTAATTCTATAATTAATTAATTACAATAAAATATTATATAAAAGATCATCACTTAAAAGTGTTGGTTTTACATAATTTTTTAAGGATCTTACATAATATTAAATTATAATTGATTAATTATATTATAATAATTGTATATGATATTCTTTCATAATATACTATTAGACTTGTCAATTGATCCGGTGATTTGGATTTAGATAGATTTAGATTGAGTTATTTTAGATTTTAAAAATTTGAGTTAATTTTAAATTCGAATAATTTACTTTTTTTTAGTTGTTTTGGATTAGGGTTATTTTGAATTAGGTAATTTTGAGTTTGAATTAAAAATTTTATAAAACTTTTTATGATTAATTTTGATTTTGAGTTGAAAATTTTATAAAATTTTTTATGATTAAAATGGGTTGGATTTTGAATTGGGTAAGTTGAATAGATTTTTGGCTTCAGATTAGAATTAACACGTCTATTACCATTATATTATTTTGAACATATTACTTGCACGAACTTTTTTTGGTAATAAAAATATAAAATAGTACATTACCCATTTATTTTCATGGTATAAACGATGTTAAATTTGCATAGGATAGGTTTGTTAATAAATCAGGCCCATAAGGATAGCTTTGGACCGAATGGACCTACCTGAGTTAACTAACACCTATCTCTTGCCTTCCACCATGTTGATTTTTCAAACTTCAAAAAATAAAAATAAACTCATATTTGCATGTATAGGTGTGATAGGTCCCTTAAGAGTTTTTATAAGAAATGTTGTTGGAGCAGAGTTGTTTTTAAAAAGTTGTAAAGAAAAATTAAAATAAATTTTGATAAATTTTATACAGTAATGTTGTATAATATTAGAAATTATTTTATTTTGTATATTTTAATAAAAAATAAAATAGTCAATTTTACTAAATGCTTTCGCAAAAAAAAGTTTACTAAATTAAATCACAAGTTTTTACCCAAAATAAATAAAACAAAAAGATATTTTTAATTATACTTAAAAACAAATGAAATCAAAAGAAAAATTGGAGAGAATAGAAAAAAATTGGAATAATATAATCCTTCATAAAATTTTATAAATTATTGAAGAGTCAAGTGAGAATATAAAAAAATTTTAGTAAAATTAGCACTTTTTGAAAAAAATTTAATTTATAATTTTGTCTAAAAGTTTATATTTGTTTCTCACATAATCTAAAAATTTTAAATTTTTTAAAGTTAAAACCTGAATTTTGCTTTTGTAGTAAATAAACTCGTCTATAAATTGATTGAAAAATCCACTATTGTGATAAAAATTTAGCCAAGAAAATAAGTGGCTTCTAAGCTCTTACTTAAACCATATTTATTTATAAGTTGGATCTTGCCTTATGAGTTATTATTTATTATTTATTTTATCAAATATAGTTTTAGGATAAAAATATTATAAAAAAATAATTTTTACCGATGAAATTTTACGTCAGTAATAGTATGATTTTTATCAATAATAGTATTATCGACAAAATTTATTGATGAAAATTTTCATTGTTGTTAGACAAGTCGATAATAGTATTCTATCGGTAATAGATAAAATTCATTGATAATTATTAATAAAATTTTTTGTCGGTAAATTCTGTCGATAATAATTCTGTCGGTAATATCATAACGTATAGATTCGCGGACTTACTACTAGACATATATTAAATGAGTCATTATCAATCTTTTTTGTTAAGGTATGATTAATTATTTGACAGAATTCATCCCCATTTAAAAAGGAGTCTTAAGATTAACTTAGGTATTTTTAAATAGTAGATTATAATCTACGAAACTAAAATTTAGATCCAAGAGTACGGTTAATGCGTGAAAAAGATTTTTTAAATCCTTTAATTTAGGTAAAATTAATTTAATAGAAACCCTTGCTTTGAAGCTCTTTGATCCTTTTTTATTTGATTTCTTATATCATGCAGGTTAAGAAAAAATCTCAAAAATTCCTCTTTACCCAATTTTTGTACAGGATTGCCAAAAAATTCTATTTGATTTTCTTTTCTTTTCTTTCTTTTTTTTATTTATTTGATTTTTATTAAAGAATAAACAAACAAATAAAAATAAAAATAAAATATATCTTAAGGCAAAACCCACATCAAAGTAACATGCATTGGACTCAAAGCCCAATAATCTCAACAAAATCAAATCGAAAACTTGAATGCACACCCCAGACAAAATGGGATGTCTATAATTATCCCTCTTTACACATTCCTATGAAACAGAAATGATATAAAGACATAGACAACTATTGAGTTCGGTTCAACTCAAGCAATTTTAAAAGAATGTGATTTTCAAAAATTTTTAAAGAGTTCCTCTAAGTAGAGGCATAAAAGCTTAAAAACTTTGACAACTTCTCTAAACAGAGGTTCAACAAATGAAACTCCTCTATACAGAGGCAAAAAAAATTAAATTGAGAAATAGACTCTTCTATAAAGAGGCTAAATAATTTTAAAATAAGAAATAGGCTTCTCTATACAAAGGCTAAACAACTTTAAAATTAATAAATGAGCTTTTTTATATAGAGGCTAAAACAACTTAAAAATAGAAAATGCGCTCTTTTAAATAAAGGCTAAACAACTTTAAAATAAGAAATAAGCTTTTTTATATAGACACTAAACAACTTTAAAGTAAGAAATGAGCTTCTTTATACAGAGGCTAACAACTTTAAAAACTTTAAATAGGAAATGTCAAAAGACATCCATTCACCCAAGTTTAAAAACATTTTAGCTTGAAATTCAATGATTCACAATTTGAAAATTCAAGGGTCCACAAATTGTAAAAATTTGCAAGGTTTCATAACAAAAATTAAAAAATTTTTGTACTCCAAGATTCGTAAAAACTTGGTAATGATTTCAAAATTCACCAAAAGTCAAGGTTCATAAACTTTTGCAAGAATTCCAAGTTTCGCAAAAATTTCAAAGATTTATAAATGATTCAAGATTCTCAGAAGTTTTAGATTCACAAAGATTTTAAGTTTCATAAAAGTTTCAGATTCATAAAAATTTTAAGTTTTGCAGAGGTTTCAGATTTGCAAGATTTTTCAGATTTTCAAAGGTTTCAGATTCGTAAAAGTTTTAGATTCACAAGATTTTCTAGATTTTTAGAGGTTTTAAATTTGTAAAGGTTTCAAGTTTCACAGAGGTTCTAGATTCACAAGAATTTCAATTTTTCAGAGGTTCCAAATTCGTAAAAGTTCCAAGTTTAGCAAATGTTTCAAATTTACAAGACTTTCAGTTTTACAAGAATCTAAAGATTTGCAAGAATTTTTAGATTTATAAGAATTCGATTCACAAGATTTCAAAGATTCGTAATACTTTCATATTCGTAAAGATCTAAGTTTCATAAGAACTTCAAATTCACAATAACTTCAAGTTCACAAGAGCTTCAAGTTTTCAAGAATTTCATGTTTGCAAGAACTTCAGATTTGCAAGAATTTAAGATTCACAAGAATTTAAGGTTTGCAAGAATCTAAGATTCGCAAGAATTTTAGATTTGTAATAAATTCAACTTTGTCATTATAAAGATTCACAAACTATAATGTAAGATTCAAATATTCACATTTAAAGGATTTTTGTTAGTGATTCACATTTAAAATTTAAATTTTCGTATTTGAAAACTTTACGAATTCACATCAAAGGTTTCAAGGCTCACGTTCAGAATTCAAAAATTTTTCATTTGAAAAATTTTAGGGTTTTACATCAAAATTTCAAATATTCACATTCAAAAATTTTAGGAATTCCCATCCAAAAATTCTCATTCAAAAAATTTTAAAAATTCACATCTAAGGTTTCAAAGGTCCTTTTTCAAAAACTTTATGGTTTCTTATTCAAAGATTCTCATTCAAAAAAATTTTAGGGTTTTGCATCCAAAATTTTAAAGATTCTCATTTGAAAAGCTCTTTTAAATAAAAGCTTTATAATTTTAAAAGTTTGAAAAGTTTTCCTTATCCAAAAATCTCCACATGAAAAATCTTTTTTCATTTGAGAAATTAAAAGTCAAACATTTCTCTCAACAAAGATAAATGACATGCTAATAATGCAAATGCCTTCTAAATGATGCAAATCAACAACCTATAGTCTCACTAAATGATGTAAATGCAAATGTCATACAATTATTTAAATGTTCCCTACATGATGCAAATGCATGCCCTAATAATGATGCAAATACAATTATCAAGGATTTAAATACAATGTAAATATAATGTATGTAATGTAAAAGTCACTACATTAATGCCATGAAATGTCAATTGTGATAACAACGTTTTCAAGACTCTACTATTCCTTTTTAGCTTTTTAGTAGTATCCATTTCAAACAAAATTCTATCAACTGATCCATATTATTTTTCTTATCTCGTCTTAACTCATAGGTTTTATCGACGAATTTGTTATTGTATTCACCATTGGATCACCTTATTTACCCTTTTCAAATCATTTTTTTAGGCTTCTTGCACTTCTTTCATTTTGAATTTCTTTTAAAAGAATGAAAAAATCTTTTATGAACATTGTCATTCATTTATTTATCATCATTCTAATTCATGACAAATATGATACATTTTTTCAATTCATTCAGAGCATGCAAACT